TTACTGGCTTATTTCATTTAGCATAGTGACTTCAAGGTTTATACATGTTGTAGTATTTGTCAGAATTTTCATTTTAAGGTCAAATAATAGGCCTTTGGATGTATACAGCATATTTTGTTTATCTGTTTATCTGGTGTTGGACGACACTTCGTTGCTTCCACCTCTTGGCTGTTGTGAAAAATGCTGCTGTGAAAGTGGATATGCAAACATCTCTTCAAGATCCTGCTTTCAGTACTTTAGTTTATGTACCCATAAGTGGAATTGCTGGATCATATGGTAGTTGCCTTTTTTTTTTAGGGCAGTTAACACCTTGATCACCTCATATAATTACCATTTCTTTTTTGTGGTAAGAACATTTAAGATTTACTGTCTTAGCAACCGTCAAGTATATCATAGTGTCATTAACCACAATTATCATGCTTTACATAACATTCCCAGAACTTTAGGTCTTAGTCTTTTAGTGCACTTTGTCTCTGGACTGCCTTCACATATTTTTCTCAAGTGTCTCCCACCCCCTCTTCGGTAGGACTGGTTGTCTAGAATGGGCTGGAGTTGTGCATTTCTCTCCCTTCATGTCAATTAGGCTCTTGTTAAATAGGAACCTAACAAGGAGATCAGGCCTTGTTAAGAAGAACAGAATGGCCCAGCTGGTGTGACTCAGTGGATTGAGTATATCGACCCATGCATCACAAGGTCACTGGTTCGATTCCCGGTCAGGGCACATGCCCATGTTGTGGGCTTAATCCCCAATAGAGGGGGTGTGCAGGAGGCAGCCGGTGGATGTTTCTCTCTCACATCGATGTTTCTATCTCTCTTTCCTCTCTCTCAAAAAAAAATCAATAAAAACATTAAACACACACACACACAAACAGAATGCTCTGGTGTATTTCAAAATGACTCCTTGTCCCGTTCCCCTGCTGGAAGCAAGGGGATTGTTCTCTAATATTTACTGTGAGGGCCCAGTGGACTCCTGGAGGTAAAACACACAGTCTAGGAGCTCCAATGGCTGGGTGTCCCTGAAGTTTTTATCTCGCAGACTTGCTCACACTGAGCCTGCTACAGTTCATCAGTTATAGTTCAGGTTTCCCTATGCTGGGACTGGTTCCATAGAGGTTTTAGCTTATTGATGTGTGCTCTGGTAAGTGTAATTCTTTGTATTAGCCTTTGGATATCTTCAGTTTTTGCCATGTGATTCACTCCTGTTATGGATCTAAGAAGAGATTATTATTTTTTTTGTTTTGTTTTCTTTCTTTTTTTCCTTCAGCTTTTACTTTGTTAGGATAGAATGATTTTCCGGTTTCTTACATGCCTGACTAGAACCCAGACATCCAAACCTAATGATTTTAAATTCTGTTTATGTTTATTTTAATTTCTTTCTTTTTTTTTTTTTTTCTTAATCCTCACCCGAGGACATTTTCCCATTTTTTGTTCAAATAGAGCGGGAGGGAGAGAGAGGAAGAGAGAGAGAGAGAAACATCGATGTGAAGGGACACATCGAGTGGCTGCCACCCGCACGACCAACCAGGGCCGGGGACAAACTGCAACCGAGGTACATGCCCTTAGCGGGAACTGAACCCAAGTCTCTCTGTTGGAGCAGGCCGATGCTCCAACCTCTGAGCCAAACCGGCCAGGGTGTTTATTTTAATTTCTGAATGCTTGGAGTCTAAATTTATTATTTCTACTAACAAGTTGTGATATGACATCTCTTTGTATGTTTGATAATTATTTATTGTTAATTGATTTTTGGTTGAGCCTCATCTGTGGGAATCCTTAGGTCCTAAATTGGGAATATTTTCTGCAGACAGGATTTGCATTGCTACAACCTAGAACCACAGAGTGCTAGAAGCCTGGGACAGTTTTAGCTTCCTTAGTGGGCCCTGCTGAATGTGTGGACTCAGTCACTCCACCTTGAGGTTTGACCAAGTTTGGAGATTGATAGGATGATATACTGTCTGTTTTGCCTAGAACTAAGGGGTGACCTGGGATGTGGGACCTTCAGTTCTAACACTAGGGCAGTTCTGGGTAAATTGGGACAATTAGGCACCCTAATTCTGATTCCAGATGCTCTGGACAAATTTATATCTTTTATCTGTATTGCCAGATAACTCTGACTTATATGTTTATGTATGTGTCATGTTCCTTCCTTGGAGATTTCTCATACTTTTCTGTAAGTCTAGCAAAAATTGTGATTTACCCAAGATCTAGTTATATATAGTAGTAGGCAGGCTCTTCAGAGCATCCTGGAAGTGTAACCTATAATTTCACTTTTTTTTTTTATCCTCACCCGAGGACATTTTTCCATTTTTTATTCAGATAGAGTGGGAGGGAGAGAGAGGAAGAGAGAGAGAGAGAGAAAGAAACGTTGACGTGAAAGGGACACATCAAGTGGCTGCCACCCGCATGACCAACCAGGGCCGGGGACAACTGCAACCGAGGTACACGCCCTTAGCGGGAACTGAACCCGGGTCTCCCTGGACCACAGGCCGACGCGCTAACTGCTGAGCAAAACCGGCCAGGGCTGTAATTTCACTTTTTTTAGAATGGAAAGGAGGGAGAGAGAGAAACATCGATGCGAGAAAGACACATCGACTGGTTGCCTTCCACATATGCCCCAACTGGGGCCAGAGATCGAACCTGCATCCCAGGTGTGCGGGCCTACTTTCTACTAAGCCACACCAGTCAGGGCTAGGCACATGACTTTTGATAGCCCTAATCCAGCTGTTTACAGCCTCCATGCCCTCCTTTCTCTGTACAGAGAATTCGGTGTCATATTCTCAGAACTGGCTATTGAAACCATGTGCAGAAAGTTGGAAGAGAGTAGCTTTCCCTGAAAATGTACCTCTTTGTTCTCTGAGCAAAGTGGTGGACCCATGGCTTCTGCCTTGATTTGTTTTACTCACATGGCTGTGGATTCTGTCAGCCTAGGTTTTCACAAGGTCCAGATTCTGAGTGGTTGATGTTGACCCAGGGTTCATAAAGAACCTCATTCAGCCAGCATTTGTTTTCCTTTTTCTTAGAAGACTGTTGGGGGCTCTAGCATTCTTGGTGCCTTATTGAGCACTTAGTTAAATGTAATACTGCTTGGTGCTGCAGGTGAGGTAAAAACTGGAGTCTAGGAGTTTGTGGTTTAGTAGGTATGAAGAATTGAACAAAAAAATAGCTCTATCACAAACAGAGAAAGACCCTTGCCATATAAGTCTGTACAGTGCTTCAGTGTACTACATTTTGTAAAGGAGCTGGTGCTCTTCTGAATAAGACAGCTTTTATGTGGAATGCATCTCTAAAATTTACAGTGCAAGTCAATGGGAACATAATTTGATACTGACACATTTGTAGTAAGAATGTATCTTTGGAATAAGCCTGGGCAGAGCCCAGCTGGTGTGGCTCAGCCGTTGAGCATCATGTCTTCAGTTACTATCTCACTGTCATGTTTTGAGAATGATAATACTATGTATAGATAGATAGATGGATATACATAATCATTATTAAGACATATAGTCATTATTAAGCTCCATTATCTTTGCATGTATGTAGTTGTTTCTCTACATGTATAGATAGACACATGACAAATGATTGCTGAGTATTTCTGCTTTGAAAGGCAGTCTTGGAAGGCAAATTTGAACTAGCCTCTAGGCAGCTATTGAAGCTCATTAGGAATCAGAACAGCCTTGGACTCCATAGATGTTTGTGGGTTGTGGAAAATTTCTCAGGGGAGGGAGTAACTGTAATTAAAGACAGGTCATTTTAGTTGTTCCAGTTAAAAAGAAAAGTAGAGCCCAGCCGGTGTGGCTCAGTGGTTGAGCTTCAAACCATGCACCAAGAGGTCACTGGTTTGATTCCTGGCCAGGGCACAGGCCCAGGTTGTGGGCCAAATCCCCTGTGTGGGGCATGCAGGAGGCGGCCAATCGATGTTCTCTCTCATTGATATTTCTCTATCTCTCTTTAAAATCAATAAAGAAAAAAAAAGGTGGAGTTCAAGATTGGTTGTCCTCTGTGCAAAGGGTAAGTGAGGGGAGGCCTGGGGGTAGAGAGAGTCCCTCTCCTTCCCTCTACTCCACCAGCCATAGAACTGAATCTGAGCAAGTGGGCTGCCGCAGTTGCAGAGCTACTGTCCTAGAGTAGAAGTTAGGATGTGTTTAATGTATATCACCAACCAGGAAAACCCATTTTCCTTCCCTTTCTGTTCAACCCCCAGACAAATCTATAATCAAAAACTTAAACTTCAGGATGTTTGGAATATTTCATTAAAAAATCTTTACTATGGCCCTGGCCAGTTTGGCTCAGCGGTTGGAGCGTAGGCCTGTGGACCAGAGAGTCCCAGGTTCGGTTCCCGCTAGGGGCATGTACCAAAAAAAAAAAAATCTTTACTATGTTTTTCTTCCTGTTTTGCATTCATCTAACATCTGTATATTTTTCTTCTGATCTACTTTTTATTTACTTATTTTATCCTCATCCGAGAACTGTTTTTTGCATTTACCTTCAGATAGAGCAGGAGGGAGAGTGGGAGGAAGAGAGGGAGAGAGAGAAACATCGATGTGAGAGAGACACATCAAATGGTTGCCACTCACATGACCCCATCCGGGGCTGGGGACAAACTGCAACCGAGATACATGCCCTTTGCCGTAACTGAACCCGGGACTCTCTGGTCTGTGGATCAATGCTCTAACCACCGTGCCAAACCAGCCAGGGCAGATCTACTTTTTAAATCAAATAGAACAATATTCTGAAATTTTCTCTTATTTTCATTAATTATCATTAATATGCGTTTTCTCTGTGGACACCTGCTTAACTTGAGAAGTAAAATAACATCTTTGATCAAACTAAAAAGCTTCTGCACAGCAAAAAAAACCAGCATCAAAATGGAAAGGGTTCGAACCCACTGTATGGAAGAACATATTTGCCAATGATACATCAGATAAGGGGTTAATTTAAAAAATAGATAAAGTACTCATACAACTCAACAAAAGGAAGACAAACAATCCAATTAAAAAATGGGCAGAGGGGGATTTTAGTAGCTCTGGGTGGAGAAGGGTGGTGATAGCGGCAATGAGGGCAGAGAAAAGGGTCACTGAAGCGCTCGGATTCTCTCAGCAGTGCAGGGATTTGACCACCACCATGTTGAGCAAAAGGGCAAAGACCAAGACCACCAAGAAGCGCCCCCAGCACGCAACATCCAATGTTTTCGTCATGTTTGACCAGTTACAGATTCAGGAGTTTAAAAAGGCCTTCAACATAATTGATCAGAATAGAGATGGTTTCATTGACAAGGAATATTTACATGATATGCTTGCCTCCCTGGGGAAAAATCCAACCGATGAATATCTAGATGCCATGATGAATGAGGCACCAGGTCCCATGAATTTCACCATGTTCCTCACGATGTTTGGTGAGAAGTTAAATGGCACAGATCCAGAAGATGTCATCAGAAATGCTTTTGCTTGCTTTGATGAAGCAACTGGCACTATTCAGGAAGATTACCTGAGAGAGCTGCTGACAACAATGGGAGATCGGTTTACAGATGAGGAAGTGGATGAGCTGTACAGAGAAGCACCTATTGACAAAAAGGGAAATTTCAATTACATCGAATTCACGTGCATCCTTAAACATGGAGCAAAAGATAAAGATGACTGAAAAGAACTCCAAATTCCATCCATATGTTCCTTGTCACCACTTTGGGTATTTCTGAGACTTTCTCTTAGCACCTATATCATGCCCACTAATCATCAGAGAGATGCAAATTAAAACAACAATAAGGTATCACCCCACACCTGTCAGAATGGCCGCCATCAACAAATCATCAAACAAGTGTTGGCAAAGGTGTGGAGAAAAGGGGACTGTAGTACACTGCTGGTGGGAATGCAGACTGATGCAGCCACTATGGAAAACACTATGGTGTTTCCTCAAAAAATTAAAAATTGAACTGCCATTTGATCCAGTGATCCCACACATAGGAATATACCCTAAGAAGCCTGAAACACCAATCAGAAAGAATATATGTACCCCCATGTTCATAGCAGCACTATTTACAATAGCTAAGATCTGGAAACAGCCCAAGTGTCCATCGGTAGATGAGTGGATAAAAAATCTGTGGTACATATACACAATGGAGTACTATGCAACTGTAAGAAAGATCTCTTATCCTTTGAGATGCCATGGAGACACCTGGAAAGTATTATCCTAAGTGAAACAAACCAAGCAGAGAAAGACAAATATCACATGATCTCACTTATTTGTGGAATATAATGAACATAATAGTCTGAGGAATAGGGGAGACCCAGAGACGTGGAAGTAGGGTACAGACTGACAACCCTCAGAAGAGGGAGTGGTAGGGGACAGAAGAGATAAACCACAGAACCTATATGCATGTACACATAACTGATGGACACAGACAACAAAGCTGGGGATGGGGTGGGAGGGATGGGGAAGAAGGTGTCAGTGGGGGAAAAAAAGGAGAAACATCTGTAACAAAAATAAATTAATAAAAATAAATTAATAAATGGGCAGAGAACCTGAATAGACAGTTCTCCAAACAGGACATACAAATGGCCAAGAGACATATGAAAAAATGCTTATGTTCCCCTGGTCAGTTTGGCTCAGTGGTTAGAGCGTTGGCCTGTGGTCTGGAGAGACCTGGGTTTGGTTCCTGCTACGGGCATGTACCTCGGTTGCAGTTTGTCCCCGGCCCTGGTTGGTCACGTGGGTGGCAGCCACGCTATATGTCCCTTTCACATCGATGTTTCTCTCTCTCTCTCTCTTCCTCTCCCTCCCTCCCACTCTATCTGAACAAAACATGGAAAAATGTCCTCGGGTGAGGATTAAAAAAAAATGCTTATTGTCACTAATCATCAGAGAAATGAAGACTAAAAATGACTATGAGGTATTACCTCACACCTACCAGAATGGCTGCCACCAACAAAGCATCAAACAATAAGTACTGGCAAGGTTGTGGAGAAAAGGGGATTCTAGTATACTGCTAGTGGGAATGCAAACTAATGCATCTACTATGGAAAACAATATGGTGTTTCCTCAAAAAATTTAAAATAGAACTGCCATTTGACCCAGCGATCCCACTTCCAGGAATATATCCTGAGAATCCTGAAACACCAATCAGAAAGTATATATATACCCCTATGTTCATAGCAGCACTATTTACAATTGCTAAGATCTGGAAACAGCCCAAGTGTCCATCAGTAGATGAGTGGATAAAAAAGCTGTGGTACATTTACATAATGGAAGACTATTCAGCTGTAAGAAAGAAAGATCTCTTACCCTTTAAGACAACATGGAGGGTCCTGGAGAGTATTATGCTGAATGAAATAAGCCAGTCAGAGAAGGATAAGTATCACATGATCTCACTTATTTGTGAAATCTAATGAATAAATTAAACTGATGAATGAAATAGATCCAGAGACATGGAAGTAAGAAACAGACAGACCATCCTTAGAGGGGAGGGGAGGGGGCAGGAAGAGATTAACCAAAGAACTTACATGCATAACCAATGGACATAGACAACATTGCAGTGAAGGCAGGGGTGGGAGTATGGGGGGAGAGGGAGTGGGAGGAGGGTGTCAGTGGGGGGAAAAAGGAAGGACATTTGTAATACTTTCAACAATAAAGATAAATTAAAGAAAATAACATCTTTAGTACCTTATTGGGATTTTCTAGATTGGGAGAATACTCATTAAAGCTGTATATAATAATTTTTAAAAGTCTTTCTTATAGCCCTGGCCGGTTTGGCTCAGTGGTTAGAGCGTCGGCCTGCGGTCTGGAGAGACCGGGTTCGGTTCCCGCTAAGGGCATGTACCTCGGTTGCAGTTTGTCCCTGGCCCTGGTTGGTCATGCGGGTGGCAGCCACTTGATGTGTCCCTTTCACATCGATGTTTCTCTCTCTCTCTCTCTCTCACTCTATCTGTACAAAAAATGGAAAAATGTCCTCAGGTGAGGATGAAAAAAAAAAGTCTTTCTTATAAAAGATTTAAATTTTCTAAAACTATCAGAGGACAGGTGCCTAATGTAGCTGACAGCTTGTTAAAGATGCATCATATGTGTAGAAGAATATGTTAGACATATAGGAAGTAAAAAATAAAAGGAACTGCCACCCAGATCAAGACATGGAATATTGCTAGCACTGAGCAACCCCCCTGTGTGGGTCCTTCCCCATTCACAGTCTCCACTCCCAGGGAACTGCTACACTGCTTTATGCTATATTTTTCTTATTTTTACATTTGTATTCATACTTTGTTTCGGTTTTAATTGATGAAATTAGTTTTGCCTGTTTGGAACTTGATGTAAATGGATTCATATTGTAGGTACGTTTTTTCCCCTATAAGATCCCTTTGCTCAACATTATGTTTGTGAAATTCATCCATCTTATTCTGTGTAGTTTGTTCATTTTCATTGCTGTATAGGATTCTGTTGTTTGAATATCCCACGCTTTATTCGTTCAGGTTGGTGTCAGGTTTTGGCTAATGTAAATGGTGCTGCTGCTGCAAATGCCTGTGTGTCTGTCCCTTGGAGTGCTTGTGAAGACTGTCTAGTGCACACAGTCGGGATTGGAATGGCCGTTAGCAGAGTGTTCGCATCTTTATTAGTGTTAGCTAATGAACCAAACTGTTTTCCAGAGTGGTTGCATTCTTATAACTTTTTTGTGTGTCCATTATCCATTTGAATCATAATAAAGTACCATGTGATTAAAAAAAATATATATATATATGTATATATATATGCATATATCTGTTTTATTTGTCTAGTATTTCTGGTACTTTATAACTTTTAAAGTTTGGTTAAGAACAGTAGCAACATATATAAAATGAAACACTTTTTTTCCTGTGCTTTTGCTATGGAAATTTGTCCTATGTACTTGAGTGGCTTTCAAACTGTTCTCAAGGCTCCTTTATATTCTTAAAAACTAAGACTCAAAAGAGCAGTTGTTTATTGATATTTATAATATTATAAATTAAATGTGAGAAATTAAAATTTAGTAATTCATTTAAAACAATAATCCTAATGTTATAAATAATATATTTTTATGAAAAATATTTTTTCTCATTAAAATAATTTAATATCTTTAGTTTCTGATTTATTGAAAGATAGCTGAATTTTCATATCTGTTTCTGCATTCAGTCTGTTGCACTGTGTGGTTTTTGTTGGAATGTATGAAGGAACTCTGACCTCACACAGATATGTAGTTGGAAAAGGGAGGAATATTTTAATAGTCTTTCAGATAATCATGGATATTTTTCTTTGATACTATACCAAAACTCAACAAGTGGTAGTTTTTTAAAAGTTAGTAGTGCCCTGGCCTGTTTGGCTCAGTAATTAGAGCATTGGCCCGTGGACCAGAGTCACGGGTTCAATTCCAGTCTAGTGCACATACCTAGTTACAATTCAGTCCCTGGCCCTGGTTTGGGGTCGTGCAGGCGGCAGCTAGTCGATGTGTCTCTCTCACATTGATGTTTCTCTCTCACTCTCCCACTCCATCTGAAGATAAATGGAAAAATAACCTTGGGTGAGGATTAAAAAAAAAAGTAGCAATATAGAATTATAAATATATCAGTGAATATTTTGATTATATTAAAGTCCATTTGTCCTTTTTACACCTTGAATGGCTCTTTTACTCAAACATAATTTGTATCAACATGCATTGGTCATTTGGAGAATACTAGTTCACCAAGTTATGCAAATCTTCCAAATACTAACATTCAGTGAAATATGAAATACAATATAAAAAATTCACACATCAATATTACCTCCAGTTGCATGCAGAATGTCTTTAAATCTTGGGGGGCTATCAAGCTTATAGTGATAGATGCTGGTTTTTCAAAAATTCTAATTTTAACGAAAGTTTAGCTTTTATTAGGGCAACAAATAATGTCAGTTGTTTTCCTTAAAGTGACAGGCTCACTTTGTTCATTTTCGAGAAAATGTCTGCCAAGAACCCATGCCTTAATTACCATAATTTTTCATTCATTCATTCATTCATTCATTCATTCATTCAAGTAAACATGGTGTTCCATGAACAAAGCAACTTGTTCAGCTTGCAACTTAAACTGTAGCACAAGTGCTTTTTCTCAGGGTTATCATTGTACTTTAGTAGTCAGCAGAAATGCTTTCTGTGTAGTTGCTATTTTGAAACACAGAATATGAAACAGCCATGTACTCTAGTGATTGATTTAAATAAAAGTAATAATTTTTACTGCTGCATCAAGAACCTTCTTAAGTGAAGCTAGTATTTTTTAAAAAATTGATGAATACTGGTACAGTTGAGTACCAGTACCTTGACTGGTATTAAAGAACTGGCAGTCTGACCCACTATCACTTTGCACCATTGATAAAAATTGTCAACATAGCGAAGAAGGTACATAATGTCCTAATATTATTATGAAAATAATTTGGACCTTATGGAACCCCTGAGGGTTTTTGGTGGGGGGACTGATAATTTATATTGTCGTTTTAAATGTAGATGTTTTAATAATCATGAATTCTGCTCTTAAGTAGTTTAAAACCCATGTGGATATATATAGCTGGGTCTTGAGAAGGTGCTTTTGCTTTTCCCATCTGTGATGCTGCCCCTAAGCCAGAACAGGGGCTATGATAGTATTATTAAGTGGCACTAGCATTTTAGGAGGACAAATATGGTATTAATTTGAATTTTCTAGTATTGGCTTTTAATTTTTCTCTCAGGTACAAGTGCTTTCTGGGAGATTTTCGTTGTTTTGATTTTATTGGCACATACAAAATATATGTACCGTGACTCATCTTTATTAGGGTATGTCAAGGAAATTTTGCAGCTGCTGCCTTGATCCTGTCTGCCTTTTCCTACTTTTGCTGAATACTCAGTTTATGCTAAGGTCTACTCCAGGGATGAGAAAGACAACAGGTTCTCTGCCTCTGGGAGCAGTGTGAAGAAGCTGTTACAGAAGTGAGTGCAGGGTGCTCTGGGAAGCAGCACAGGAGAGGTGCTATTGTAGGTGGGTTTTAAAGGAAGTGTTGGAGCCTGGCCTGGCAAGGGAGCAGCAGGATTGGAGACATGAAGGAGAAGAAGAATACAATACTTTGGGGACAGGGACTGGCCCAATGCGATGGTGGTAACACAGGTTGAACATGGAGGCTGTGTCAGGAAAAGAGGACAAGCTAAAATCAGATCATAAAGAGTCTCCCTGGACTTGATCCCATTGAGCAGTGGTTCTCCAAGCCTGGTCCCCAGACCAGCTGCATTAACGTCTCTTGGGAATTTGTTAGAAATGCAAATACCTGGACCCAGCCCTAGACTTTTAGGGTGAGGTATTTTGGCGGAGGCTAGGCTCTCTGTTTAACTAGCCCTCTGGGAGACTGTCCAGGCTAGGAAAAGAGCAGTCCAGGCTCTTTAGCAACTTTGAATTTTACAAAGGTCACTTTGAGGACCCTTTGGAAGGTGGGATGTGTGGGGGAATTAGGGACTGAGTCATTTGTGTTTTATTGAATGGGATGTGGGTCTGGACTGAAGGCAGTAGGAAGAAGAGGATGGATTTGCTGGAGATAGATTTCATCTGACTTGATTGCTAGTAGACACCTTAAAAGCTGAGAAAACAGCTGTGCTTTGCTCTGTGACCTGCACCCAATCAGTGATGGAGGGGTTTTAAATGACCTTGCTGCCTTGTGTCTTTAGGGAACATCTTGTACTGATAGTGAAAGAACCAGCTCTCTTAACTTGCCTGAGCCTCTTGAGTCTCCTTTTGGGTATTGCCTGTTTAACCAGAATGATGGCCTCTAGAAGGGTCAAGTTGTACATTCAGGGCCCAGAGTTTTAGAAAGGATGGCAAGGTGTGGGAGACAGAGGCAATGACTTCATTCAGATATGCCTAGCTACTGGCAAATTTAATAAACAGTAATGACAGTCAGACTTTGTACGTTGTCTCTTAATTGGTGAAATGTACCCTTTTGCTATTTGAATTTTACCAATCATTAGCTCCATTTGATAAATGTAAAGTGTAAAGATGGTTCTCTAATTTCAGTTATAGCAGTTATTTGGGTAGAAGCTTTATTCTTCAGGATTTTAAAGTGTTTTTATATCCTGTTTTGTTTTACAGATGTGTAAGACTCCAGGGCCTTCAAGCTGTGCTTAATCAGATGGTTCCTGCAATGGCTGGGAAAGCAGACACTTTGCGTGCCAGTTGGAGGATGTCTGTGTATATTTAAAACCTTTCTATGCACACACACGAGAAGATAGGCTCATTCTGGTACACACTTGAAGTATTTTACAACTGATGAAAATTAATTTAAGAATCAGATGGAGCAACTTGACACCACTGGGCTCAGGAGCCCAGGGAGAAAAAGACATCACTAATGGCCAATTTTCCATATGGTCTTCACGGGTAAAGAAAGTTTGCAAAAAGAAGAAAAAAAAAAACTTGCACAGATCAAGCTTCAAAAATACCTCGCCAGTTTAAAGAAGGAGCTGAGTGAGATGGTGACTGAGGGAGAAGTGTAATTTCAAGCATTGCAGGTGGAATCAGGCAGTGTTTTTTGCACTTTATTTTTCAGTGGATTTGGTTATTTGGACAGACTTTAAAATTCTGGACTGACAAGTAACTCTTACTGTGAGGTTGAGACTGGAAGAAAGCCAGTTGAGATTTGACGGGACAAGTTTGAACAATAAACTGGGTTCCTTTGCCTTTTTCAGTTGACTGTACTCGAGAAATTTTAATTTATTATTTCCCTTTCCTTTTCTCTATCTATAGGATAATATCTTAGGTAGCAATTGAAACTGATAATTACAAAATAAATATCAAGGAACAACAAAGCTTCTTTTCCTTGGACTGAGTGTACATGTGGCATTTGGAAACATTCTCTGAATGTGAACAGGAAAGGGCCCATCGGCAAAACGTGGTCACTTTTTAGGGAAACAGTGAGGAAGAACCGACCCTTGCCTGTGTTTCATTTTAAGGGGGTCTCTTTTCTGTTGAGTTCAAGAAGACTTGCATATAAAAGAGGAGGATTATTTGATAGACTTACTTCTGAGTGGCTTTTTTCCCTCAAGATGAAAACACATGTGATTTTTAGGAGCAGAAAGGGGAGAAGTTAGACTGGGGGAGGGAGGAAGAGACGAGCAAGAGACGAAATCCTGCAGCAACACTTTGTTTTGTCAACAAGAGGATTGAGGATTCACCTGAGGCAAACAGTTGGACTGTATTCAGGGCTTACAACATCTGGCTCTGCAGAGTGAAGGGGCTTTCTCTCTACACCTCTATGGCACTGAGGGCTGCATGGGCCTGTGGATGGACAGTCAGATAGAGCCCAGCTCTCCCTGGGGACACAGTGACCTGCCAGGAAACCGGGTTGGGTTCTGAGGTGGAACGTTTTGAGTTCTGAATAGTGGGAAAGAGTCTTCTTTTCCCCTTAAACTTGGATTGCTGTCTGCATAAACTCTGGTCATTTTGCACAGTGTGTGTGCCTTTTTTTCTCTTTATGCAATCTTTTTCAGCTTTAGCAGCAGAAATTTGTCTAGTTGAGAAAACACTCCAGAGGGTGGCTTCAGAAAGAGGATGATCCCCTGTGTCCTGTCTCTGCGTCTGAACTTTTGAAGAGAAGATTCCAACTCGAGGGATTCTTAAAGCCTTAAGTTACTTGAAATCTATGTATCTGCAACCCTTGGTCTCTGGAATCATATTACACTAAACTGGAATCTCAGGCTGAATCAGAATAACCAAGTTGAGTAAAAAGAAGAAAACTCAGTTTCTTGATCACCACATATTAATGACGCTCTTTTTCCAAAGGGTCAGCCCACTCCTCCTCTAAGGACTTGAAAATAAAATGGACCCCACATTTTTTTAAGCATTATCTTTTCTTAGCAGACTGCCATCATCTTTTATAGAGGAATTTTTTCACTATGCATTTGATGGATCTTTATAAAATTCTGACCTTCTAATTAGATCCAGGTCAGTCTTAATTAAAAGGGGTCAGGGAAAACAACATAAGCCAACCACAGAAATAGAATAAATCAATGAAAGGAATTGGTTTAAATTTTTCAGCATTCAGCATTACTTTTTAAGTAAAATAATTAACTGAAAAAAAGTATGTATGCAGCAGTGGAACAGGGGCCTGTCCTTTGCAGCGACTCCAACATCCTCTGTCTGTCCTGGAAGGGACGCGTCCCCAAGAGCGAGAAAGAGAAGCCTGTGTGCAGGAGGCGCTACTATGAGGAAGGCTGGCTGGCCACGGGCAATGGCAGGGGTGTTGTGGGCGTGACCTTCACCTCGAGCCACTGCCGCCGGGACAGGAACACTCCACAGAGAATTAACTTCAACCTGCGGGGCCACAATAGCGAGGTGAGCTGGGGTTTCCTTTCATTGGTCACTTCTAGAGGGATTTTTGAGCCCCACCCTTCTGTGGGCTCAAAACTTATTTTGTTTCAGTTTCTTAGATTTGTTGTCAAGTGAGACTTTGCAAACTGGGAATACTGTCTTCGGTGTTTTGGTGGGAAAGTGTTAGGTCAGACACAGTGCCCATTGCTTGGTTACTGAATCTCCCCCCGCCCCCTTCACCACAATGAGCAAACCCCTTGTCCCACCCCACACACCCGGGGAGCCCCAGTGAGGAACTGATGGAGGTCATGACTGCTTCTGGCCAATCGTGATGTCAGCTCTAGTGATCTGCCCATATCACAACTGAAAAACTTGGAGCTGTTTTTCTTCTAGAAAACAATTTCTTACAGATATTATCACAGTCGCACAAGTTAGTCATGGTACTGATTCTTTATTTCATGGGATTTCCTTAGGAGCAGAAAGGCAGTCATGCATGTTTGGTGGAATTGGTTTCATTATAGGAACATAACAGTATAGGAATGGTCTCACCTGGATTCTTGGATTTGGTTACCTTTTCTCTGAGAAACTTTTCCTGACCTCCATGCTCCCTTTCCTCCCTGTCCCCCGCCTGCCCCTACTGAGCTCTGAGCAGCCTTCTGCGGTAGTACTGGTAATGATACTTATCTGCTGTGTGGGTCAGTAAACCTATTGGAAGATGGTCTATTTTTGTGGTCTTAACTTCCTCACCTTCCAGTCCTTAAAATGTCATTCATTTTAATTACCTTTAACTCATTAACCCACTTCAGTATGATTTTTTCCCCCCCACCTCTCTAACTGAAATGGTCACATTCCCAGTGACCTCACGTTGCTAAATCCATAGGTTACTTTATTGCAGTTGATGTCTGGTGGCATTCAATGGAGTTGAAATGTCACTTTCTCTTGCTTTCCAGGACACTACCCGCTTCTGGTTTTCCTCGTACCTTTATGCCCTCTACTTTTCACCCTTCTTTGCTGGCTTTGCCTGTTTTCTTTTCATCTTTAAGTGTCAGAGGGCCTCAGGCATGCATCTTTTTCTAGATGATCGCTCTAAGTTCCCTTTAAAACCATCTATATGCTGGTGACTCCCAAATTTATATCTCCCACCTACCTTTGCCCTCTAATTTCCAGACTCCATTCTTTAACTTAATATGTGAGATACAAATTTTACATCAGTTACTAGGCATCTCAAACTGTAGGTCATTCAAAAGAACTTGTTTTCCTGCTGCCTCTTCAGCCACCAGCCCTGGTCCACTATATTCTACCTAGTACCAGCCAGCAATGAAGTTACAACACAGAAGACATCCTACCCATCTTCCACTGTATTCGACTTCTGAATGACAATCTGAAATGTGTCCCCCTCTCCTCCATTCTCACAGGTTTTTTTGTCTTAAATCCTGCTGTTTAACCCATTGTGGAGGGTTCTGCTTAAGAGTGTATAGTTTCTTGAGTGTTGTTAAAATATTTTTTAAAATTGAAATATAATGTACTTTAATTATCTTTTCTTTTTCCTAAAAACACTGTCTGACATATGTCACATTTCAAAAATGAATGGGAATTTCTTGATGATTAAGAATGATCTCCTTTGCAGTTGGATCTTAGGTTTTTCTTATGCTCTGTGGTGAGCTTGAAAACCTGGATTTGACTTTACCCTTTTTTCTGTGGTTTACCCTCCTTTCTAGCTATTGTGAACTGCTGAGCCTGGTCCTGTTTTTGCATCACTGTGCATGGTGAAGATCAACTTTCTTAAACTTAGGAGAGATTAGAAAGCCATTTTTATTTTAAAACATTTATATACGATTCAATGTATTTAAGGATCTCTACGTTGATTCTAGTGAGAAGTTTGGCTATTGTTGGGTTAAAACCAGTGAAAAGTCACTGCATATTTTTAATCTTCCTTATAAATTCTTCATAAAAAGTGACTTTTGGTAGATTTGTGATCACCCACTATGGTGTAAGGAGAACTATGTTTTATTCCCTGTAGTGATAACCTGTCCTCCCACCCCTACCCCTTCCCTCCCTTCTGTTCTTGTTTTTTTTTTTTTTTTTTCTTCTTTTTTGTTCAGATAGAGTGAGAGTGAGAGAGAGAGAGAAACATCGACATGGAAGGGACACATCGAGTGGCTGCCACCCGCACGACCAACCAGGGCCGGGGACAAACTGCAACCGAAGTACATGCCCTTAGCGGGAACCGAACCCGGGTTTCTCTGGACCGCAGGTCAACGCTCTAACCGCTGAGCCAAACCGGCCAGGGCTGTTCTTGTTTTTTTGTATCTCTACTCCATGAAGTTCTAGCTCTGTCACTCGACTCATGAGGCCAGAGACAAAACACATGCAGTCAGCAGGTAATTACTGCATCTCTGACGTGTGTGCTGAACGTATGCGCTTGCCATTGTGGGGCAGGGTAGATCATGGGTTATACAGTCCAGCAATGAGGGGGGTGAGGTGTGGGCCTGCATATCTCTTTCTGAATTTGCATTTCAGTTAACTACAGAAAGGTACCTTTGGGTCATTGGAGGAATTAAGGGTGAAGTTCACTACAGATTTGTGGTGAAAATGACCTTTGAGTGGGGCCTTGAGCTAAATTTCTATAGTCTCTTTCTGAGTGAAACAGAATGTTTAGCCACATTTTAGTTTCTGAGAAGCAGTTTCTCTCTTCTATGTGACATGAACACATTGTGTTTCCCTTGGCTTTAGCCTAATCATAGGATTGTATTCATCTCATCACATTAGGTGTGTCCCCAGGAAGATGCTCTCGGAGTCTGGCTGGACAAGGACAAGGGCCTGTACATTTTTGCCTGCCCTGGGACAAAACTGTCCTCACTGGACAGGCAGTTAGTGTTCTTTGCTTCTTTCCACTGTGTTGTGAAATATTTATGGTTTGTAATGAGGATTTTATCCTTTGCAATATTCTGCACCATAATCAATTCCATGGCCAAAGGTTTAGCCAAGGTGCTGCCTTAATAATTTGACTTATGTGGTAATACTCAGATATGGCTATTTTTGTGTTGAATGTATTTGCATGCAGTTGTAGTCAGGTTTGAAAAGTTATGTACATATGTGTTCATGATCTATCTGAATTAACGATAATTTGTTAATGACTTAGCATTAATGACTCACTTTATGTGGCTGTCCTCGTAAAGCAACCATCTCGTTTGTGTGAGCTTATTTTAGCATGCTAGGTGACCATGTCTGTCTGGTTTCCTTCCCAGGCAGGCCCTTTCGGTGTTCTGTCACATAGGTCCTTTGAGTCCAGCACGTTGAACTCAGAGGCTGCTGTCTGTGCCTGCAGTTGGTGGAGGAAATAGGGGCGGATGAAGCTCAGGGCTGTCTGTGGAATGCTTTGATGGTGTGCATAGCAGATTTCAAAGCTCTATAATATTCAAAGATAATGAATTCCAAAACCACAACCTCTTAGAGTTTCCTATACTTTTTGTAGATAAACTTTTATGGTATTAAAATTAAAACAATGAAAACTTACCTAAGTTGATATCCTGGAAAGGAATTTAAAACAATAAAATGTACCTGCTGGAGTTTGGTGGGTGCTCCACCTTGATCTGCCAGCTTTAATGAGTATTAAAGATTTCCTGAGTGGGAAAAATGCAATAAAAGGATTTTCATAGTTAGACTGGGAGATTTGAGCATTATATGAATGAAGTAAAGGTGATGTTTTAAAAATAGATTTCTAAATTTTTCTAATACAAGCATAGTTACCTTAATTTCCCTAGTGAGAGTATCTTCTTGTTCAGACTGGGCTGAGAACACGGGTGGTGGAGGTACTCGGGCACAGAGCGCTGAGCTGAGCAGAGGATGATGCTGTTAGGCAGAGCTTTTGGTGAAGCTTTCCAGCTTTCTGGGGTGGTGATAGGGGGCTTGGCGCATGTGCTGGATCTTGAAGCCCCTTTGGTTCTGTAAGCACTGAGAGCCCACATGAGGCAGGATACTGCTGGGCTTGGGTGTCACATGATGAAGAAGGAGCTATTTCTGCCCAACTCACCTGCCTGTCAGAGGATGGATATGAGGGTTGCATGGAAATAATGTTGCTGCTGCAGCTAACGGTTGCTATATGTTACACGGCCACAATTTTCTATGTGCTTTATGCCTGTTATTTTGTTTAACCCTCATAACAACTCACTCAGCTTTATTTTATTATTCCTGCTATACAGTTGAATAATCTGACTTTCAGAGATGTTATAGAAGTTGTCCATGGTATGGAGCTAGATAATGTAGATGGCAGACCTGGGATTCCAAGTCATGTCTGTGTGTTTTTCCTTCTATGAGACACTGCTTCAAAAAAGGTGAGGCATAATGAGCCCAGAAACAGTTATGAGTGACTGTAGCACATATGTTTTGGATAGTGAAGGGTTTGGTGAGGCATTAAAGAGTAGTGCAGGGCAAAGCTGCCTGGGCTGGGGGACTAGACTCTGAATAGTCATGATAAAACAATAGCAATAGATGTTCATGGGATGAAAGAAGGCAGTGCTTTTGGATTGGGTTTAATTCTAAGACTCAGAAAATTTGTATTCAAATAGAAGTGTTGAAAAAAGTCAAATCTGACTATAAAAATTATTCAATTCAGTGCATTTATCCACGAATGTGGATATCTTGGAGTTGACAGCATTGGCTGTCCTTAATTTAATATGGATGTAATAGTTTTCAAGAAGTAGCATATAGCCCTGGCCAGTTTGGCTCAGCGGTTAGAGCGTCAGCCTGCGGTCCGGAGAGACCCGGGTTCGGTTCCCGCTAAGGGCACGTACTTCGGTTGCAGTTTGTCCCCGGCCCTGGTTGGTTGTGCGGGTGGCAGCCACTCAATGTGTCCCTTCACATCGATGTTTCTCTCTCTCTCTCCTTCCTCTCTCTCCCTCCCACTCTATCTGTAGAAAAAATGGAAAAATATCCTCGGGTGAGGAGAAAAAAAAAAAAAAGAAGTAGCATATAAACTTCAGTCACCATGATTTTATGACAGTGTACGAATGGGCCTAGTTAGT